AAAAAAAAAAAAAAGAAAGAAAATTGTAAGGATTAAGTGAGAGAATGATGGAAAGCTTTTAGCCAGTGCTTAGCACATCATAGGTGCTCAGTGAATGGAGGCTCAGATTATTAGTTATTATCTGCTGGGTGTCAGAGAAACAGCAGTGAGCTAGGAGCCAGGAGACCTGAGTGTTTGTCTTAATTTTTTTTGGGGGGGGGGTCAATTAACTGTACGACAACTGAACTGCTCACCAACTTCTCTGGGTTTTGATGTCCATATCTGAAAAACCTACAGAATGGACTACACCAGGGGCTGACAAATATTGTCCATATGCCAAATATGGCTTTGCCTCTTTGTGTAAATAAAACTTTATTGAAACAGAGTCATGCTTATCATGGTTTACGTATTGTCTATGGCTGCTTTTGTGCTACTGTAGCAGAGTTGCGCAGGTGTGAATACAGTGTGCAAAGCCTGGCTCGGCGCCTGTGGCTCAAGTGACTAAGGCGCCAGCCACATACACCTAAGGTGGTGGGTTCGAATCCCCAGCCCGGGCCTGCCAAACAACAATGACGGCTGCAACCAAAAAATGGCCAGGCACTGTGGCGGACGCCTGTAGTCCCAGCTACTTGGGAGGCTGAGGCAGGAGACTTGCTTGAGCCCAGGAGTTGGAGGTTGTTGTGAGTTGTGATGCCATGGCATTCTACCCAGGGGGATAGCTTGAGGCTCTGTCTCAAAAAAAAAAAAAAGTGTGCAAAGCCTAAAATGTGAGCTCGGACAATTAAGTTCTCGAACTCATCCCGGAAAAAGTGCCACATACCTCATTGCTGATATCACTAGGGTTCCCTCGAAGTCCTCCCCTGGGGAAGCTATGTACCAATGCCAGCGCCTAGTCCACCCTTCCAAGCAATGTTGGGACTCTTTCTGGAATGGCCATCAGAGCTGTCATTGTATAAAGGTCTAGCAATTAAGTTTGCGAAGAAAAAGCGCTATATACCTCATTGATGAATATCACCAGATGGCCAAGGGCAGGACTTTGAAGGTAATTGTAGTGATATTCAGCAATAAGGTATATAGCACTTTTTCTAAGATCAGTTTATGAACTTAATTGTCCAACCTTGTATTTATAGAAGTTTACCAGTCCTTAGAGACTCAGATACATGTGATTAATTGGCATGGTGGTCCTGATTTTTCATCCTCCTTCTACCTAGGTCTACGGCTAATTTGCAGTGCTCACCCATACCCTGCCCCCGCCCCTGGACTCAGCCGCGACTTGCTTCGGCCAATGGGATGTCAGCAGACATAGCACCAGCAGAGGATTGGACAGCACTGTGTGACTGGGCCTGTCTTCTCTTACACCTCTATAGTCTCCATGAGAACACACCCAGCCTTGTTCACTGGAGGATGAGAGACTTTTGGGGCAGCGTCAAGTCCTTCCAGGCAAGACCAGCCCAGAGTAGCCAAAGTCCAGCCAATACCCAGACAAGTGAGCCAGTCCATCCAAGGTCAGCAGAACCGCCATGCTGCTGACCTCACACAGTGAGCAGTGAATAGTAATTGCTGAATGCCACTAAACTTTTGTGGTTGTTTATCACACAGCACTATTAGGGCAATATCTACCTGAAGATAAAATGCCTAAAGATCATTTGCCTTTAGAATATTTCTTTTGGTTTGGCACCTGTGGCTCAAGTGGCTAAGGCGCCAACCACATACACCTAAGGTGTTGGGTTCAAATCCAGCCCGGGCCCACCAAACAACAATGACGGCTGCAACCAAAAAATAGCCGGGCGTTGTGGCGGGCGCCTGTGGTTCCAGCTACTTGGGAGGCTGAGGCAGGAGACTTGCTTGAGCCCAGGAGATGGAGGTTGCTGTGAGCTGTGATGCCACAGTACTCTACCCAGGGGGACAGCTTGAGGCTCTGTCTCAAAAAAAAAAAAAAAAAAAGAATATTTCTTTTGTTGATTCTACTGCCTGTACTGTGAATAGCTCTATTTTATCCACTGCGTTTAATAAACATGATTTTCAAGATCTGAAGTCATTAAGTCTTTCAGGCTTGGGACAGAGGAAAACAGATACTATAGTTAGCCCAGGAGGCAGAGCGGGGCAGGGGTAGGGGCAGGGATAGGGGCAGCACCCTCCTGGGAGATCTTAGCCACCCTGTCTGAATGTCTCTGTGTGCAAATGGAGAAATCATTCTACTTATTGAAAGATATGGACTGACACCATGACAGAGAAGGGGAAAACACCTTTCAAATGTACCAGGTTCTATAAATACCGAGCAGGAGCCGAAATGAAAAAGAAAAAGAAGCAGCAAAAGGATTAATTACCTGAAGTTCCTTGATCTGGTTCATAATTTTTTTATAATGGTCCAGAAGACATATCAGATACAAAGAGAACCCTTTAAAAAGAGAAGCAGGAAGAAGGTAAGTATCAGTTCAGTTCAACTTCTTTGCTTTCCAAATATTGTCTTAACCAAGCTTGGGACAGGCAGAGAAGGGCAATGGTGCCTTCCCACAGAGGAAACAGGAGCTGGCCTCTAATTTGTGTTTTTAAACTAGTTGATGAGCCTTGGTTGGCCTCACATCCACCTTCTTTTGGGAGGTGGAAAATAAAAACCCATTGAGGGCGTGGTGCTGAGTGTGGGGGATGGTCCGAAGTCACGCTGTCTGGGGGGCTTGCAGTTCAGCTGGAGAGACAAGGTCTACGTGCCTGCTAGGACACATGCAGTGACCCCAGGCAGCAGGTGAATGATGCTGAAAGAGATAAGGAGTGTGAGGACCTCAGAGAGGGTGAGATCATGCATCTGGAGTGACCAAAGAAGGCTGCTGGGTTGAGACACACTGGCTGTAGGCATGGTCAGGTGGGCAGAATTCAGAGCACGGGGGCAGGGCGCTTCAGAATAGGGGATGTGCCGTGTTGAACGATGACCCCCAACCCAATGATATCGAAGTCCCAATTACTGGAACCTGTGGATGTGACTTGAAAGGGCAAAAGGAACTTTGCAAACATAATTTAAGTTCTAGATGGAGATGGGGGATTATTCTGGGGGATCCAGATGGACCAAGTATAAGATTTGAAGATGCTACATCAGAGGCTTTGGAGAGGGAGGAAGGGGCCGCCAACCAAGAATGCAAGGAAAAAGCTGTAGCATCCAAAAAAGGGAAGGAAACGGATTCTCCTCTGTGGCCTCCAGAAGGAACCGGCCCTGCTAACACTGTGACTTCAGCCCGTGAAACTGAACTTGGACTTTGGGCCTCCAGAACAATAAAAGAATAAATGTGCTGCTTTAAGCCACTGAGTTCGTGGGTGGTGCGTTGTTACAGCAGCCACAGGAAGGCAAAGGCAGGTGGGGATTAGGGAAAGTCGTCCAGCAGGTACTGAGCTCAGCTGGGCTGGAGCAGATGGCAGTAGAGGGAGGAGCAGACGGTGGAGGGGTGGAGCAGGGGGAGGCAGAGCAGTGGTGGGACTGGAGCAGTGGCCTGGAGAGTGGAGACTGGATTTAAGCACCACTGAAAAGTACTGAGCGGGTCCCGTGTGCCTGGCCTTCAGCTAAGCGAATTCCTCACCCTACCATCCCCTCCATGGCCCGTTTTACAGATGAGACTCCTAGCTGGGCTCCAGTTGGTGTGACTCCAGCAGTTGGAGTCACTGCTATCTCAGCTGCGCAGTGGGGCGGAGAGCTGGCCTGATGAAGAGTGCTTTTTGGAATCGCTGGGTGCACTGGCGAGGCAGGAACTAGCAGGGCCTCTTTACTGTGGCTCGCCCGACAATCCCTGGTCTGGCTGCCCTGCTGTAGGGTGTTTGGCAGTGTCCCTGGCCTCTACCCACTAGATGTCGGGGGCACCAGTCACCGCAACCCAGCAGAGACAATCAAGAATGTCTCCAGGCATGGCTGGGTATGCCCTATCGGGGAAACAACCCCCTCCTGGGAGTGAGAGAGTGAGAGGCAGGGAGGTCTGCTGAGAGCCTGAGGGCAGCCAGGTGTGTCCTGGGTGGGGGTGGAGGGAAGAAGTGGGATGAGAAGAATGAGAAGGAAAGCCTTGTTTGGGGGGAAGAATGGTGACCTGAGGAGGGAGACTGGTTGGAGTGGAGGAGTGAACAGGCCAGAGTGGGGATGGGGAGGAAAGGAGCGCCCAGCTCTGTTTCTAACTGTTGAATTGGAGGTATCCCAGGACTCCAAGGAGAGACCGTCACAGGGA